GGAATTGGCGAATCAGTGCTTGGCGCGTTTTTTCGGTCAGTCGGTCAGCCTCGTGACCCCTCTCTCTTTCTTTCTCTCTCTCGCGCGCTCTCTCTTTTCTTGCTCTCTTTTTCTGCGTTTCTCCTCGTGCTGTAACTCACCTGAGCACGCGCCCTCGGGGTGGTCCTGCCCAGCTGAACGGAGCCGTTGTGCTGCTGCAGAGGAAGCTGGCAGACGAGGGTTTTTTTTTGTTTACATGTATTTTAGCCTTTATTAAATGTTGGAGGAACAATTAAACAGTAGGTGAAATGCCTTCTGTAATACGTGCAGGTTAATTCCAAAGGTAACGTTTTACCAAAGCATCATAATACTAACAGATGCACAGAGTCACGGTGAGCTTGAGTCTAAATAGTCACAACAAATAGACAGAAACACACGGTCTGTTGATGCGTTTCCCAAATACAAAACGTAGCAGAAGCCAGAGCCTGTGGTCCCAGTCTGAAGAGGAGCAAAGGGAAATAAAGGAGAGGGAGGAGAGGAAACTGAAGGAGGAGAGGAGAGTTATTCAACTGCCTGTCAGATTTCCTACCATTCAAACCAAACCAGCCAACAGAGACAGAGGGAGAGGGAGAGAGAGAGCAGTGTCTAAACAACAGCAGAGAGGGGCCCTAATCAGCCTTGTTTTGGATGTTTGTCCCTCCTGCTCAGCTGTAACTGTAACCAAAGCGACTCCGTGATATTATTAAAGTGTAGGCCGTTACCATGCTAACGCCAGGACGCCGGGATTGACTCTGCACTTTAATTAAGTTACTATTTCCCCTCCCATCTGTTACTGCATGCGTCTCTCTCTCTCCCTCTCTCTCTCCCTTAATCGGATACAATAATAGCGTAACAATAACATCATTAATGAGCTTTTGAATGACCGTTTACATTTAGCCCAGATTGATAAGGTGGCTTTCCTCCTTTGGTGCCATTCCTTTAACTAGAAATTCCATTTTCCACCTTATCACTGATCACATAGAAACATAGCCCCAAACAAACCTAAATGCTCCGTTAAGATCTTCTCGTCCTCTTTGTTAATGTTGTGTGTTGCAGTCATATCTGAACATATTATTTTGATAAGAAACACAAACAACCCAGGCGCCTTAAATATCCCCTTTAAAAGTTCTCAAGGCCTTTTAATATTTTAATTAACCGTTGCCGATTGTTTTGCCTCCAGGCTCGACGTGAAACCTCTGCACGACGAGACCGGTGAAGGCCGGTTGTCGCACGCCAGGTATTAAAAAAACGAGAGAGAGAAAGGGGAGGGGTGGAGGACGAATGGGAAGGCCACTGGGCAGAGAGATGCAGAGAGCATAAGAGAGCTTTGCTGTCAATTAAGGTACCTTAAGTGGTTCTAAAAGTGATCATGTGATCATGGAGTTTCTTAATTTAAACAAAATTAAAATTTTAA